AGCTGGTAAACCCAGAGATTAAATTCCAACACACCCTCCACACGCTTTATACACACTCACCCTGCTGGTCCTCAGCTGCAACCAGGCTGATGTTGTTGTACAATAGGCCTCTCTCACCAGAAATTGGGAGGTTCCCACAACCCCTTTCTGTACACTGGGCCAAGCACCACGCGCCCCCTCAGATGAGGAGCTGTAGCAGATGCATGATCAAACCACAGCCACCCCCAGCGAGAGATGCTGGGCTTGCCTGGACCGGGCACTCCGAGCAGTTAGCTCTGAGCAGCAGCAATGGTGTCTAGAAAGGCATTTAGTCGGCCGAGCATGATGGCTCGCTCCTGTAATCCCAGCACTTTGGGAGGGGCCAAGGCAGGTGGATCATTGGAGGTCAGGAGTTCAAGATCAGTCTGGCCAATATGGCAAACCCTGTCTCTACTAAAAATACAAACATTAGCCAGGTGTGCTGGCGGGCACCTGTAATCCCAGCTACTTGGGCGACTGAGGCAGGAGAATCACTTGAGCCTGGGAGGTGGAGATTGCAGTGAGCCAAGATGGCACCACTGCACTCCAGTCTGGGCGACAGAGTAAGACCCTGTCTCAGAAAAAGAAAAAAAAAAAAAGACGTTTACTCTTAAAGGACAGACCCAGGCAAAAAGAGCAGAGGACAGAAGCTGGAGCTGTCGCACAGCCGGCCCTTCAGAGAACTAGACCCTTTGTGGTTCTGAGTGTGGCAGGCAGGGTGGGAGGCGCTGGGCCCTCCCTGTGGGCAGTGAGGCTTCGGTGCCATGAGCGCCTCCCTCGGGCAGTGCGTTCCTCCCCCGTGGCTGCTGTAATAATTGACCATGCTGCGTGGTTCACACAGACAAACGTATTCCAGAGTTCCGGAGGCTGGAAGTCTGCGGCAGGTCTCGCACAGCTGACTCCCAGGGACAGCAGGGCCGTGCGCCCCTCGGGAGGCGCTGGGGGGGACTCCATTTCCTCCTCTTTCCCAGCTTCTAGAGGCCGACCTCATTTCTTGGTTCCTGGTCACGGCCGCTCCCTCCTTCTCGAAGCCAGCAGGCTTGGGTGGAGGCCTCACAGCCGTCACTCTGACTCCCCTTCCGTCTCCCTCTTACCCCTTTAAAGACGGTGGGGACGACACGAGGCCCAGCTGCATAATCCAGGCTGTGCTCCCTACTCAAAACTCCGCCGATTCGCATCCGCCTCTCCAGCGGCAGCCCTCCTTCCCTCTTGCCCTGTAACCTAACGTGCTCCCAGGTTCCGGGGCGTAGCAGACACCTGCCGGACACCGTGGGGGCCACCCTGGGGGCCACTGAAGGCTGCCGAACTCACGCCAGAGATGCAGGCCTCGATTTGCTTTGGTGGAACCCGTCCTCAGTGTCCGGTCAGTTCACATCCTTTGATTAGACTGGCTCCAAACTACCCCTCCCCACTGCACCCTAGAGTAAGGAGATCCAGGCCGGTCTTAGCGTCAGAACCACCCACGCACACACAACCACACACACACACCACATACACACCGCATACACACAACCACACACGCACACCACATACACGCGCACACACACACACCACATACACACACACCACGCACACACACCACGCACACACACACCACATACACACATGTACACACCACACACACCACGTACACAACCACACACACATGCACACGACATATACCACATACACACACATACCACATACACACCACACACACACATGCACACACACGTACACACACATGCACACCCACACTGCACACCCCACATACACGCACATACACACCACATACACACACATGCACACACACCACACACCACATGCACACACATGCACACACACACCACACACACACCAGGTACACATGCACACACACCACACACACGTGCACACACATGCACACACCATACACCCATGCGCACACACACCCCACACACATGCACACACCCGTACACACCCATGCACACACCCATGCACACACACACATGTGCACACACATACATGCACACACACACCACATACGCACTGTGGCAGGCCCAGGGATGGGCATGTGATCTCACCCCGCCAAGGAGACAGTTACACCTGGAGGGGACGCCCTTTTCTTCCTGCTGTGGGATGTGGAGCTGCTGCTTGGACCAGGAAGTGGGAATGGAATGTCTTGGGAATGGAGCCCACTTGTCAAGAACAGACTTGGGGGTCTAAAGACACCGTGGGTCCTCAACCAGCCCTCCCCACTCACCCCCGGGTGTAGACAGAGGAGAGAAGCCTCTGCCTTGTTCAAGCCACCGTGACTTGGAGCCTTCTGTCCCTCACCACCTAACTTGGTCCCAACTCATACACCCGCTGTGACGGGCTCTCTTAGCACCTACAGCTTGGGAAAGTGCCGTTTGTCCATGCACGCGTCTGATGGGGTGTGTGTTGGCCACGGGCAGGTTTTCAGCGCATAGTGGGTATATATTCGGAACCCAGGGTTTCATGGCTGGTTCACTGTTAACTGGGGGTGAAGGCGATGAACTGCGTATCCTCCCCAAGCTGTGCAGCCCAGAGTCCCCACGAAGGGCCTTGCAGCGGGGGTGGAGGGGACGGCGGGAGGAATTCTTACTCGGATGTGATCAGGTAAATTTTTGTTTTCTGTCTGGATGAAGTTTGCTGTTTTTACATGTATCGCATCACGACTGAAATGTCACAGTTTATGTGACTAATCCCCGTGTACTTTTAACATCCCGCCGTGTGACATTTTCCCCCTTCAAGGGGGGACTTACGCTCCCCCTCTGTCATCCTTCTGTCCCTGGCGCTGCGCTCAAAGTCAATGTCTTCTTTTGACCTAAGATGTTTTGTTCGGGCTGAATGTATTTTAACTTTAGGACGTGGCAGAATCTGTTGCTTGCCTCCGCAGTGGTCGTGCTTCCATTCTTCCTCTCTAATAGAGCTCCCAATTTTAGCCTGGGACGAAGACTTCATCAACTAGCTTCTTTACCATTCGGAGTGGCTGTGGAGGTGCGACTGAGGTTACGCACAACTTTTGGGAGGTGTCCTTAGGGGAGTGGTGGGAGGAGGGAGGTCTCTTCTACCCTTCCTCTTTCTTGCTGGCTGAAGTGTGGACATGATGGCTGGTCCTCAAGCAGCCACTCTAGACCCTGAGGTAGAAGCCACATGGTGAGGATGGCAGAGCAGCAAGGTAAGAGGCTGGCTTACTGGCAATTTGAACATCCATCTCTGGTCTTCTGTTGTACTGGAGGGAACTAAGTTATCTTGTTTAACCCGCTAATGTTCCGGGTTTTCTGTCACTCGCCGCTGGATTTGATCCTACTTGTCACAAGGGTGTCAAGTGAAAATTGGCATTTTAAAACAATCCACAGTAGTCCCCTTTCAGAGGAGCTCACCGAGAGTCTCAGCTCAGGATGGGCGCAGTGGCTCACGCCTGTAATCCCAGCACTTTGGGAGGCCGAGGTGGGCAGATCCCTTGAGGTCAGGAGTTCAAGACCAGCCTGGCCAACATGGTGGAACTCCGTCTCTACTAAAAATACAAAAATTAGCCAGGTGTGGTGGCGGGTGCCTGTAATCCCAGCTACTTTCGAGGCTGAGTCAGGAGAATTGCTTGAACCTGGGAGGTGGAGGTTGCAGTGAGCAGAGATTGCGCCACTGCACTCCAGCCTGGGCGACAGAGTGAGATTCTGTCTCAAAAAAAAAGAGTCCTAGCTCTTTGCCAGACTTTGTTATTGACTGTGGTGTTCACCACAGTTACACCCAAGGCCCAGCCGGGGCTGGGGCCCCCTCCCACTCGCCTCTTGCTGGCTGCCTTCCCTACGATCATTAACACCCCGATTCTACCCGATTCCACCAGCCTCTCTTGCACCCCACACGATTTCAGTTTCTGCTGGTGTTTAACACTGGTAAAGGTTATCAAATCCATCTTTAGTCAAGAAAAGCAGTTTAATGAACGGGTTTCTGCCTCACGAAGAGAAAGGCTGTGCGCACGTGTGTTATGTGCTAAGTCACAGTCAGCCCGCGGCGCCCCGTGTCCGCCTTGCCGATTTAATCTCTTGGCCAGTGTTGGACAAACAGAGCAGGCTGTTTCCTCATTTTCTTCTCCCAGGCCTCCCCAGCCCCCCTCATGCATTTTTCATCAACTCCTTCTGCCTGGGAACCATATTGATTGGCTGATTAAGCCATCAAGTCACAGCCAACAGCTTTAATGTTCTAACCCTGGAGCCTGAGTTCTTTTCCCTCCCTATCACTGTGTTCCTCGCCTCGAACCCCTCCAGCCCCGCCCTGATGTTGCAGGTGTGTTCCAATCATCAAGAGATGAACTGTTGAGAACCCAGGCCCCTCCTTGAATGACGCTTCACCTGTCACCTAAACAGAATACCCACAACTTTATTATCTTTTTTTTTTTTTTTTTTTTTTTAGACAGAGTTTCACTCGTATAGCCCAGGCTGGAGTGCAGTGGCATGATCTTGGCTCACTGCAGCCTCTGCCTCCCAGGTTCAAGCGATTCTCCTGCCTCAGCCACCCGAGTAGCTGGGATTACAGGCGTGACCCACCACACCCGGCCTGGTTTTCTTTGTTGTTGTTTTTTTTTGTTTTTGAGACGGAGTTTCACTCTTGTTGCCCAGACTGGAGTGCAATGGCACAATCTCAGCTCTCTGCAACCTCTGCCTCCCGGGTTCAACTGATTCTCCTGCCCCAGCCTCCGGAGTAGCTGGGATGACAGGCGTGCACCACCACGCCCAGCTAATTTTTGTATTTTTAGTATAGACGAGGTTTTACCATGTTGGCCAGGCTGGTCTTTAACTCCTGGCCTCAGGTGATCCACCTGCCTCAGCCTCCCAAAGTGCTGGGGATTACAGGCATGAGCCACTGTGCCTGGACAACTTGATTATCATTTTTACTTACACCTCTAGAGAGGACCCCTCTTTCAAAACCCAAACTCCATATTTGTTCTCTTTTGCTGCAAAAATAAATAAATAAATACATAAATAAGTAAAGTAAAAAAAAAATTACCCCAGAACTTAGCTGTTTAATGTCCCGCAGGATCTGAGGGTCAGGGATTCAAGAGCGTCCTCGTGGCCTGGCTCTCTGTCTCCCTGTGTCACTCTGTGACTCTGAAAGTGCAGTCACAGAGTCAGGGGCCATCATCTGACACGCCCCCGAGTGGGCAGCTCCCCTTCTGAGGTGGCGGCACCCACGTGGCTGTCGGTAGGAGGCCTCTGCGCCTCGCCACGTGGACGTCCCCATCTGAGCGTCTGGAGTGTCCTCCCATGTGGTCATGTGGCCACTGCCCCTGCAGGTGAGGGATCCTAGGGAGGGCCAGTGGCGAGCCGCGGTGCCTTCGATGGCCCGGTCTCGCGTGTCCACCGTCACTCTGCTCCTTTTCTGTTTGTCAGAAGCGCGTCACCAAGTCTGGCCCACATTCAGGGAAAGTGCTGCATTAGGTCCCACTGTTTGACGAGCAGGCCCGAGGATTTGAGGACACATTTCAAAGTGTCACCCTCCGCCCTCTGGCCACCGAGTCCTGCATTTCTTCCCGTGCAAAATATCCTCGCTCCCCCTCCCAGCAGACCCCAAAAGTCTCAACCCGTCACAGCCTCTGTTCCGAGTCCGGGATCTCATCCAAGTGAGGACGAGCTCCCCAGGACGGTTCCTAGGTCAGCTCCTCGCCTGAGAGCCGCTCCACCTGGAGGCCTGCATGCGGAGAGCCAAGTGGTCGGCCCCCCAGGCCCTGTACCCACAGCAGGGCAGACTGAGGTAACCGCAACACACTCCCCCATCCCTCGCTCCTGGCACAGCGCTGGGCACCTGGGGCACCGCCACTACCCAGACAGTGAGTGAGGGAGCCAGGGGGGGAACAGCCTGGGACTCGGACGCAAAGATGCGTGGTCAGCTGTGGTTCGTCACCCAGGTCCCTGCTCACCCACAACCTCCAAATCCAACAACGAGCTGGAGCCTGACTCCAATCACCATCCTGACATCCTGGCACCCTCTGGAATGACTCCAGCTTCTCCTGATGACTTCCTCTCCCCGCTAGCGGGGGGGCCAGGGAGCAGGGCCTGATCCGCCTTGTTCACTGTGTCCTGTGCACCTAGAACAGGACGTAGCAAACAGTAAGTGCTCAATAAGTGTTTGTGGACTGAAGGAATGGAGAAGTGGAATAGCCGATAATCAGAGTTGCCGGGCAGGGCAGCCTGAGGCACAGTCCCAGCACTGGAGAAATTGGGACGTGGACTGAATATTCGATGGTGGCATCGACGTCTGTCTTCTGGGGTGGATGACAGAACCTCTCTGTAGGAGTGCACCGTGTTCTCAGCAGGCACAGCCCAAAGTGTGACGGGGAAGTGCTGTGGTGGCTTCAGCCTGCCTGCAAGGGTTTGGCAGGGCAGGGGTGTGGGGGGAGAAAGAGAGAGAGAGAGAGAGAGAGAGAGCAAGAGCAGGCTGGTGCACAAATGTGGCAAAATGTGAACAGTCAGTGAAGGGAGATGAGGAATTGTGAGATGCACAGACTCAGCTTTAAACACCTCCATAGGTGAGACATTCCTCACCTGATGACATCTGGGTCCTCTTGAAGGGTTTAATGCCCCAGGAACCAGCTGCCCTCTCATGCTGGCTCTGGGGAGACAGAAGAGGGCAAATGGGCATACGGTAAATGGGCATACAGAAGGCACACCGGGGCGGGCGCTGTGGCTCACACCTGTCATCCCAGCACTTTGGGAGGCCGAGGCAGGCAGATCACCTGAAATCAGGAGTTCTAGACCAGCCTGGCCAACATGGTAAAACCCCATCTCTACTAAAAATTAGCTGAGCGTGGTGGTGGGTGCCTGTCGTCCCAGCAACCTGAGAGGCTGAGGCAGGAGAATCACTTGAACCCGGGAATCGGAGGTTGCAGTGAGCCAAGATCGCACCACTGCACTCCAGCCTGGGCAACAGAGCGAGACACCATCTCAAAAAAGAAAGGTGGAGGGGGTGTGCACCAAGTTCCTCAGAGGCCTCTGGGGCCTTTGGGGCCTTTGAAGACAGGGAAAAGGTTTGTCAACTGCCAGGCAGCAGCCCACAGGCCTGCAGAGGAAGTTACACACCATGGACAAGAAAAGCCTCTCCCGCGGCCAGCCTGTCAGGATGGGCATCTCAGGGGCAGGCGGCCCGGCCTCCCTCACCCAGTGCAACGCCTGGCTCCCACCTCCCTCCCCATGACCCCTTCCGGCCCCCTCCAGACTCCCACTCTCCAGCCCCGTCCACTGCCAGCCACCCCAGTCCACTCCCCATCAATCTCTAATGGCCCTGGCGTCAAATGCAGGGCACGCTGGCCGCCCCTGGCCCCGAGCCCTGCTGCTGGCGCACCTGCCTGGCTCCCCTGTAGGAGCTTACGCCAAGCCTGGCCACTCCTTCCTAGCCTGGAGTCCTGATAGTCTCCATCCCTGCCCTCTCTGTGGTCCCCAACTGTGTCTCCTGACACCCTGGGGTGCGAGGGGGGATTTCTGCTTTCAGAACACCCGTCCGCTCTGAGTAGGGCCCTGTGCCAGGCATGGTCTTGCGTTCCCCATGCACTGAAAGGCAGGGACCGTGTCACCTCGCTGGGATCTGGCCTGTGGGGCCGCCAATACCTGGGGACTGGATGAGGGCTCAGTGGCCACCCAGTCACCTCCACCGGCTTGGTCACCCGGCGGGTCGGGAGTAGCGAAGGGAGATTGGCACCAGGTGTGGGGGGTTTGGGCCCAGGACAAAGAGCTTGTTCCCGAGGCGGCCCTGCCGTGGCGTGATTGGCTCTGTCGTGTAGGAAGTCGGTGTGGCAGTAAGAGGGATGGGAGAACCAGACCAGGAGACCCCAGCTCTCCAGAGGAGCCCAAAAGCGGGGCTCACGGATAGGCGCTCCTGTTGCCAATAACTTGCCTGGATGCAGGATGAAACCTCACGACTCCTCTGCAGCCAGCCAGCGGGATGGTTTTTGTGGGGTCCCACGGTTCCCCTCCAAGCCCCTCTTGGAGAAGGGAGGCTCCTGGGCTGGCTCTGGTGCCGCAGCGGGCGGTGGGATATGCTCCACGTCACCCCTGCTTTCCTAGGACACAACACAGTAGCGGAGAACCCAGGACACCGACCCACCAGAGGTCCACAGCTGCTTCCTGGGTTCTTCCTGGAGTCATCTCCCCACAGGCGATTTCCACCAAACCCACATTGATGACACCCCCAGATAACCACAGTCTCCCCAGAGGCAGCCCAGAGCCTGTCCCCACCCTCCTGCCCCCTGAGAAGCCTCCGAGGTGTGCCCTGACCATCACCCAGCGAGCTCCTCCACGGCCGGTTTCAAGGGGTTCATGGGGTGGCTGCGTGGAATTTACTTACAACATCCCCTCAGCCCCCCGTGAGCGGCTCTCGCTAGGCATTTAGCGGCAGCTTCCCATCCGTGTCCTTTCCTGTGTTACTAAATACCAAGATATTCTGGTCCGAGTTCCCACTCCCCCAAGCCCTGATTCACGCGGGCGTGCATGCTGAGGAGTGTGAGACATCGTCACCTGCCCCCGTGAACCGGGATGGGCGGTGGCATCGCCAGCAAGAAGCTGGCATTTGAGCGCAGGTTCTGCAAATATCTCCAGGACCCGCGTTAAACCACGAGAAACCACGCGTGTAACCGGTGACATCACCCCCCGTTCAAACTGCTTCTTTCTCGGCTTTTCCTCTTCCCTCAATGTATGTCCATTTCTCAGGCTCACCCGGCTCTGGGGCTGCTGAGGTCTCAGCCGTTTTGAGGGTAAATGCCCCGAGCGCCTCCTGCCTCTGGCTTTTCACTTCTTCCCAATTTTGAATTCATCTACTTGCCTTCCAGCCTAATAGATGCACTAGGGCAGGCTTCATCATAACAATGCAGTCACGGGATGTTGACAGAGGGCTCACCGCGTGCCTGGCTATGCAGGCTGGCTCCTGGGGTGGCGGGTTCTGAGGATGGATGAACATGCTTGCCAGTGGCCCGCACCTGCAAGGGAATGGGGAGGTGGCAGGACTGGGCAGAGGGAGGAGCTGAACTGACGCACAGTCCCAGGAGCCCTCCACCAGCCCAGCAGGACCTCAGACATGGCCTGGGCGAGGCAGATCTCTGCAACCCACCCTGAAGGAACTGAGAGCTGAGCCTGTCTGCTGACCACGCCCTGCAGCTGGGCCGCAGGTCCTTCCGGAAGATGATCTGGGCGGCGCCTCTCATCTACGTGACCCAACTTTACCCTCACCGCAATGCCCCGGGACTGTTTTGCAGGTGAGACAACAGGCTCAGAGAGATTCAGTCGCTCACCCACAGTCACACAGCTGGAGGTCTGCGCAGATCTCTCTGGCTGCAGGTCCATGCTCTTAACCATTGCTGCACTGCCTCTCAGGCTAAATAGTGGAATTTGTGGAATATATTTTTTTTAGAGTTGAGGTGTCACTCTATTGCCCAGGCTGGAGTGCAGGGCACAATCTCAGATCACTGCAGCCTCCGTCTCCTGGCCTCAAGCGATCCTCCTACCTCAGCCTCCTGAGTAGCTGGGACCATGGGTGCGTGCCACCACACCCAGCCAAATAATGGGATTTGAAAGATGAAACTGAGGTGCTGTGTGCTCTGTCATCCTAGGGAACAGACCTCGGCCCTGTCCGGTGGCCTGGCTTCCTCCCTCGGGACGGTTTCTGCTTCCTCGTCTGCAGATCAGCCCAGCCAGTGCCACCCCACTTTCCTTCCCATTTCCCTTCCTCATTGTCCAGTGAAACTGGGAGCAGCTTCCGGGATGGATGTCATCTGGGTTTGTTCTGTCTTTGATGCCAAAGGAGGAAAGGGAAGAGTTGTTCTGCACCATCGTTGGTACCAAGATACTGGTTTGCTGAGTCCCTCTCAGAGAGGCACCGGCAGGGAGGCTGACGCCATAAAAGGGCGAACCCACAAGAGATGAGGCGAACCCACAATGGGACCCCAAAGGCAATTTCCTGCCTCTCCAGCTAGCCCACTGCTTATTATGGGGTGTGCGCGGTTATGGTGCTGAGAGGAGACACCCTGGGACGCGGCGGTGTCACATAAAACATTGTCCAACTTGGCCTGGTGGCCTGGCCCGCGGTGAGCTCAGTAAACGGGGAGGAAATGGGTGGCTGTGGTGGTTGCCTGGGGCCCCAGCTCACCCTGCTGGAGGCAGTCCCGGCCCTTCCTTTCGCCTTCGTCTCCTCCCCTTCCCGCCTCCTCCACCCTTAGCAGCCAGGGCGGGGCCTGTGCCTGGCTCAGCCAATCAAATGCTTCCTTCTGGTTTCGAATTTTGGGCAAATGGAGATCATTGAGAGTGCACCCTTAGCTTGGCTCTGGGCTGTGGTTCCAGCTGCCCCACTGGCCGTGGCTTCCACCATTCCCTGCCTCCCCGTGGATTCCAGTAGCTTCAGCTGTCCCTCCAGTTCCTCTGTTTGCTGTGTAAGACGCCAGAGCCAGTTTAGGCTGTTGCAGCCCGAGGTCCTGGCTGTCTGAAAGCAAAAGAGGCACATCGGGGGCCAGCACCCCCAGCAGGACACTGGACACACGTCTGAGGGACACACAAAGCTGCTCGAGGTAGTGAGGTCCCCATCAGGAGAAGCAAACAAGCACAGGCTGGAAGGCTCCTTGACAAGAACTACACCTTGACTTAGCGCAGATGCAACAAGCCTGTTAGAGCAAAGTGAGCTGCTGCTGCTTCCGTGTTTGTTGTTGTTACAATTGGTTACAACTATGACAATGATTCAGCCTAAATCACAGCACCCACCCAGCCCCACCTTTGGCTTCGAGGCTGAGACTGAGTGTCCCTCAGGTGGAAAGAGAAGGGTGCGTTGGTCCCTGGAAAAATCTGCGTCATTTCTGTGGGACAAGCCTTCCCGTTAGTTCAGGGCTGGCTCCATCCTGAACCACCCCAGAAGGGCCCAGCTTTCAAAATGTGTGGCTGATTTTGTTTTCGAAGAGAGAGAAGGCGGGGGGCAGGAAGCACCATCCCAGATCTGCTTTCACCACCAGATAATCCTTTGTCATAAACGCCAGAACTTTCCATGAGGCTGCTGAAATGTGCTCGGCCTTCCCAGGCCGGTGTTACGGCCAGGCCGCCTCCTGCTTGCAGCTGATGAGGACAGACAGGGCACGCTGTGGCCTCTGTAAGGTTGCAGGCCCAGGCGTGTGAAGGAAAGGAAGACACAGGGGCCCCATCACCTCCAGAGAGGCCTCCTCACCCTGTTCTGGCCAGGCCTTCCCCGGATGCACCCCTTGCGGGCAGTTAGAGCAGTGATGTCCCCAAGCCACACCTGGTTTCCTCCCCAAGCTCAGCTGCTGCCAGGGGTGGTGGCAGGACCTCAGCTGGGCCCTCACCAGCCCTGGGCCTCCCTGGCAAAGTGGGCTGTAGACGCTGGGCAGGCCAGACCCTGGGCTCCTCCACCCAGGCCTGGGAGTAGTTCTCAGTTTGCTCAGTGTCCCCCAGCCCCACCTGAGATCAGGTCCTTGTCGCCTGGAGCCAGGGGATCTGTAGCTCCCCTCCCCTCCCCCTGCCCTCCCAAAGCCTACGGCAGAAGCGCCACCTGGGTCGGACCATGCCGGGGTGCCCTCTGGGTCAGACCAGGTTCCAGCTCCTCAGACAGCGGGAGACGCCTGTTCACCTCTCCTCAGTCCCCTCTCCC